CTAGCAGTTCCACTGGCAATACACTTCCCCAATTATGAATATGAAATACTTATGAATTACTGCTTGCAGCAGAGGACAGGCCAAGTACAGTGATGGAGCACTATCCATTCACTTAAAGAATTCAGAAAAATGTAAACTGATATGAAGTGAGTTCCCAGATATATGGTTATGTGAAAAAGTGTAAGTCAAGTTCCCTTGAAGAGATATGATTAAGCTCTTATTCCTGGTATTTGAGAATGTGACCTTATGTGGAAACAAGGTCCTTGCAGATGTATTCAAGTTAATATTGGGTCACCATCCTAATTCAGTGACTGATGTCCTTACAAGAAAGAGAAAATTGGATATAGAGACACAGACACTTAGGGAGAAGTTCATTCAGAGATGAAGGCAGAGATTAGAGTAAACCAAAAACTGCTCAGATCTCGAGTTTGCACTTCTGTCTCCTGAACTGTAAGAGCATAAACTTCTCTTGTTATAAATCACCCCATTTATGTACTTTGTATGCCAGCCCTCAAAAATGAGTACATAATGCTACATGATTTTGAAGAAAAGAAGAAAATGAATAATTCATATGCATTTTTTAGGCAAAAAGAATCATCAAAGAACAAACCAGAAATATATATAGTCATATATATGAGAAACATAGTCATATAATTTTTACTTTACATATATGTTACACATTTTTAAAATGCAAGTCAAAAAGAAAACAGTTACTGAACATAACCAATAGAACTGAACTATACATCAAATTTCTTCTATAACCACACATAGAAAAGGCCAACATCAGAAAACTTTCTGATGGACATCCTATACAGGGTGTGCCCTAGGGACAAAAGAACTGCAAAATGATCATAACCCTCATTCAGTAGATTTAATGTAGGAGGTAACGTATGAAGTATAATTTGAAACTATGTGACAGTTGCAAGATAAAGCAAATAAGTAAATATGTTGCTATTTTAAGGAACTAGGACTTTCAGTGAAAGAAAAAAGAAATGCAAATATAAAAGAAGTTCAGGAAAAAGGAACCTATAATGTTAAGTTACAATTGGAACAACAGGTAAAACAAAATGAAACAATCCAATAAAAATGTATTTTGTCCCTTTGACTGCTTACAAGATGCAGATGTGAGATTACAGGCAGCTGTAATGTTCACAAAGGCTTGTTCTGGCTTTCTGCTTTTGAGATTCCTAATCTTTTCTGGAATTTTCCATTGTAATGAATCATTAAAAACCTTAAACACAGTGGGCATCTGGCTAGTTGTTTCTTCTGTACTCCCTCACAGTGTTGGATCTAATGTCACTTCTTATGGAGACCTCTCCATTCTAATTATTGACTTATTCTTCCCTGAGACTGCCAGACTATTGGACTAATAATCATAAGAATTTTACATAGTGTTGTAGCAACAGGTGTCATTTCAGGTGAAAGGTAATGTAAATAGTAAGGTTTTACCTTCTCAATTCACTCAACTGACATATTTCTTACTACTTCATGCTACAGGAAGAAGGAGGGGAAGGAGCTATCTTTTCCTTAAAAATTTACCAACCACCTTGTTCTGTAACTCATGTGTGCAGGACTCTGCTTGCTGCCACTCTTGTCACCACCTCCCTCTTTAGGATGTTTATGTTTCTATGTTATGATGTATACTTTGCAGTACTATGACCCTCATTAAATCTAAAAGCTTACATTTCATTCATGATTACACTTTGCCAATACCAACTGCATTTTACATGCTCTAACTATATAACTCCATTTTTTTTTGGAGAGATTTTCACTGTAGGGCGCGTGCGCTCGCCAGACAGACAGAGACATAGAGACAGAAAGCAAGAAATCACCCCCCAGGGGGATGGTCACGCCGCAATCCCCTCTCCTACATTCTCCTCTCGGGATCTTGGGCATGCACGCACACGCGCCCGGCGTGAGTTTTAAGCCACCGGGTCCGGGACACGAACTGCGGTCGACTACGTGGGAGTCCAGCGACATAGCCATTATGCTAACTGCTGGTTCCCACAATATAACTCCATTTTGAGGTATGTGAATTTTTGCCTTGTCATTCTGTTGTAACCACATTTAAAAACAAACAAACAAAAAACCTGATAGCCACCTCATTGATGTGCCTCATAAGTCAGTAAGCTCTAGACATTCTCACTCCTCAACTCTGACATCCAGAAGCAGAGATTACACATCTTTGGGGTTATAACTCTACTCATTTCAATTACCCACTCAACAAGACTGGTTCAGCTCCAGGCCCTGCCCAATTAAAAAAGTTCCTGAAACTCATTGTTTAAGATTTGAAGGCATTCTGGACCCATTCAAGTGTTATATTGACGGGACTGGTCTCTGGGCCAAGTGAAAGATTTCTCCCACAGATCAGAGTCTGGTTTATTATTAGTATGGTGTGCCTGTGTGTCCACCTTTATTTTTGCTTACTTTCCTTTTACTCATTTGACTATATAATTACCTACTCTGTGTGTGTGTGTGCATTCTGCGAAAAACTGATACAGGCCGAAGATGCAGGGCGGGGCGGGCCCGGGATGCTTTTTCTACGTGGCTTGTCATTTGATTTAGGCATAAGGGAGCTGCTCTTTTCACAGAGAAGTTAAGTTTTTCCAGGTAGTGGGAAAACTAAGAAACCTTTGATTGGTCCAGAAGCAACGGCCTATCAGAGGCCAAATCGTCCACTTGTGTCTGGCCATCTACCTGGCCTTCAAGGGGCTTAATCACATTTCTTTTCTGCAGCATCTAACTGCCTTCCATGGGAACAATTCTAGTAGTATTCAAACACCCTCTATTGTTTTTGCCACGTGGAAACACAACACAGCAACACAAACGTCGATCAGATCAGAACTCTTCCTCCAGGTACCAACTAATTTCTCTAACCACTCCTGCAATAAAAACCCACCAAAATAGTTCAGAAAAGACACGATTCCTATATCCTCACCTCCACATTATGCCCTTAGCTCACTTATTGCGCTATTATTTCACCCAACCTCTGACTAGGGGTCCATACAGTTGGTCATTCTCTCCTTGAAACACTTTTACGCCAGTTTTCTGGTTCTCTTCCCTTCTCAATTACTTCTCAGTCTCCTTCCTGCCCAGTTTCCCAGCACCCCTTCTCTTTGTGTTCCGCCACTCCCCGCATC